GGTACCACAGTCGCAGATAGTCGATCGATATTCTCTGCGAACATGTTAATATTATTTAGAAGATTGTTTATCTCCCACTCCAGGGTCGGTGCCGAGGCTCTGCCTAGTTTATCTTCATCTGCAGCCGCTATGCTCAGAATCGAAGCTTCGCTGGCTAAATGTCTCGCCGTCACCGCCTTGTTCCTCACCGCAGTCTCCTTTTGACTCGGCATTCTGAAGGTTTGCAATGTACTGCCTCGTACTTCCACTGCATCTCCTTCTTCTTCTCTGCTACGGCAATGAGGTCTCGCATTCACCACCGTCTTCCTTGTCGCAGTCTCCTTTGGACTCAGCATTTTGAAGGTTTGCAATGTACTGCCTCGTACTTCCACTGCATCTCCTTCTTCTTCTTTGCTAGGAAAATGATGTCTTTCATTCACCGCCTTCTTCCTTGCCGCAGTCTCCTTTTGACTCAGCATTTTATTTTTCCAATTGTTTTTTCTTTCTTTGGATCTTTCACCAAGCTGACCGAGTTTCCTTGACCGTTAAGGTAAATTCTTCAGCATATCTTCCTTTACTATCGGCCACTGATCCGGCTCGAAGGACCAATGAAAAACTAGGGATCTTACGCGGATACTGTCCGCGGAGTGAAAGCACTTATGTATTGTTTGTGGTGCATTTACACACTAATTTTTTAATATAAAAAGTGCTCCTTAAGAACTAAGTATTACAATATGACTTAACCTATCTTAGACTAATGTGTAAAAGAGAGAGAGAGTGCATATGCCATAACCCATGGAGTAGAAAAAGCAATTCTTTATCTCACATGTGGCAAGCACGCTACACATGCTTATCAGTCTGTAGTGAAGATTACTCCCCGTAATCTTACTCAAACATACCACATGTGGCAATAGAAAACTCCTATCTTATTCTAGTGTACAAATATTCAACAAGAAAATGCTCTTATCTCAAGTGGACTGTATACAAAAATAGATCCCTGTTTAACTAAATGTTCTCTCTTCTACACAAGAGATCCACAGCAAGACATTCACTATATTTATTATTTAAAACCATGTTCGCTACGTGAACAATATATATATATATATATATACATTATGGATGATAATGCAAATTAAGGCTGCAAGTACAACTTTTGACAATAGATGTAAGTGCAGTGTTGCCCTTTTGAACGAATTCGCCTTTTGCAAATTAAACGAAATATTTTCCAATTGGAATGAAACCTTTTCCAAATTAAATGAAACCTTTATTTTTGTCCAAGGAAATATAATATTTCCAGTAGATTTAAATCAGTATTTGAAATTTAAATCAAATAATATTAACAAATATACTCCTCCCCAGCATTAGAGAAAGCTATCCAGTTGCGGATCATCAACATGGATTCCGTAAGCAACACAGGACAACATCAGCGTTGCACGCCATTTCCACACATATAAGTAGAGGACTTAACCAGAACCGGCCGTGCGATAGAACAGTGTTGGTAGCGCTTGACCTATCAAAAGCCTTTGATACTGTCAACCATGCCAAGCTGTTTGAGGATATTGAGAGCACTTCCCTTCGGCCGAGTTTGAAACGTTGGATAATCAACTACATGTGTGGACGCCAGTCGTAAGTGGAGTTCTGGAACAAGAAGTCCTCTTATTTTGGTATTAGGACGAGAAATGACTAAATTTGACATAAAATATTGCTGGAGAATGTATTGAAGTTAACTGTGAGAAACTACTTTCGAAAAAAATCCGCGGTTTGTTGGAATCGTCACCGAATCGCTTTTAATATATGGTTATCCTTAATGGTAGTTAAAGAAAGACCAAACGTGCGAGGTGTAATGATTTTTTCTAATAAAATAATAAAAAGCAAAATAATTTTTTGTGATAAACATTTTTGGGTTGTTATAGATTTTAGCCGATATCTTCGAGACCAATAGGTCTTTCGCAGTGATTCTTGCAGAAATAAGATCTAAACATGTCCACAAACATATTCCATCACACATAATTCAATTTACATCTTTGACGTATATATTGGAATTTTGTCAAATTCGTATTGAGGCAAAATACTTATTACACACGACGAACGAATTTTCAAAGTTGAACAAATTCAACTATGACAGAACGTAGTTTTGTGTTTTTTTTTTTTCTTTTGTTGAATATTTGAATACATTATATTATTTTATAATTTTGTTTCGCGATTTTGTTTAGTTCACCAAGAGATATCGATTCGACGTATTTGGGTAATACGGCCGTACAAAACATTTTGCCATAGTGGGGATGTTGAATATTATTGTACGCCTCGTTTAATTTTAGGTAACGTTGTAATGGTTTCATTTAATTTGGAAAATGTTTCATTCCAATTGCAAAAGGGTTAATTCCATTTGTAAAAAGTTTCATTCCATTTGTAAAAGGTTTCATTCCAATTGGAAAAGGTTTCGTTTAATTTGCAAAAAGTTTAATTTAATTTGGAAAAGGTTTTATTTAATCTGGAAATGCTATACATGTATTTCAATGAATGTTGCCCAAATACGCATTGCACATAAAAATATCAAGTTGAAAAATTCCAACATTGACAATGCGTATTTTGGATTTTTTTTTTTTTTTTTTTTTGAAAATAGAATTCCATTCATTGAAAATTTTGTTTTTCTATAAATGTAAACATTTTCCGATTAATTAAAAAAACGTTTTCATCCATTTTCGCCGTTTTCAATTGACACTCAAGTAAATAAGGTCCTTGCGTATTTGGGTAATACGGACGTTCAACAAACCCTGTAAAGGTGAGAAGGTGGGTATTTTAGTCCACAACGCACTGAATTTGATACGGGCCACATTAATGAAAACATTTGTATTGCCTCTGCCCGAAAATATTCTTTGAATAAGTTTTATTTTCCTTTCAAAACTATATGTAAACTCGTAATGTTTGTAATTATAAAATATATGGATAAAACTAAATGTTTTTCATTATCACTCATCGATTACATTATACATTATATGGATAGTGTAGAGGAATATATTATTTTCGTAGGACATGCAGCGTGTTACGGATAATGATTACATGTTCCCACTGGGTTGTAGTGTAAAGTGGGCCTAACACAACTTTCAACTTTTCTCTCGCAATTCGCTCTCTTTTACTGGACATTTGCGTAAACGAACAAAATTCAGTAACAATTTCGATAAATTTGTACAAATTATTGTAAGGGAAGAATCTACTGATTTGTTATAATGCTTTCATAAAAAAAATGTTACAGTAGTAAAAAAATTGTATATACTTGCGGGATCTTGAGCTGGCATACAATGTATTATCCTTTATTTCATATCAAGTACAAATAGAAAAGCGCCGTCGTAATATAAACACATAGAATCTTCTGGCAAGGACATAGTATACGTATGCAATGATATTTATGTACACGTTTGTTCTAAACTTACTGTAAAGTAAATGATGAAGTGGCCGATGATGTATTCAATTCCGATGAAGACGTATTCGAAATAGGAGTAGCAGCGGAGATCAATTTACTTGACGTCGAGGTTAAAAGCTCAAAGCAATTCTGTGGGGTTGTAAAAGTGTTCGGGAATCTTTGTTTTTTCGCTATTGCTTGCCCAGTGGACGTGTTGACGGAGAATGAAGTGCCCTCCGTGTCCAGTGTGTCTTCTTTTAAGTTATTATCGCTAGACTTAGACGTGGAGCTCTGATTTACACTAAAACTCATGACAAATTAATAAATTTAATACACGTAAAAATGTCGGTCTCCCCATTAAGTTGAAACATCGAGCACCCAAAACAATAATTTGTCAATTGTTATTTTGTATCCAAATATCACAAATTCTTCACAACATTTTCAACTTCAATTTATTTGCCACATAAACACATTGCAGCATTTATATGCCAATTAATGCAAATTATTCCCAATTTTCTTTAAAAGTTACATGAATTAACCAGCTAAAGTTCAAATGAATCAAATGAACGATTCCGTAAAATGAAATGTCTGAACTATTTTGCAGCTCATTCGTTCATTTTCTTTAGCGTGGTTTTATATTTGTCGGGATCGGTGTTGAGAGTTTCTCTCTCTCTCTGCGATAGAGCTGCGATATTTTTAATTTTGTAACAAGCGTACTTTTTGTTCACAAAAGGTACGAATTGGCATAAACGTACCAAAACAAAAATTAGATTTTTTATTATTCGTGAATACATTTACGCTTAAATTATAACATATATTATTTATGCAAATAACTGGTATAAATATTGGCCAATATTTCTCGATAATTATGATTTATTATCATTTCAAGTAGAATTTTAGGTACCTTTTCGTACTTTTTTGTTCCTACCTGTGGTAATGTTTTCCAACACAATTCACAATTTACCACTGAGAGAAGGAGAAACTCTCAACACCGATCCCGATCCCGACAAATATAAAACCACGCTTAATAACATTGGACAATTTAGAGTCCTTATTTTTTGTCGGATAGAGTGTCAAGGGGAATAGAAATAGAGAATAAATGCATTGTACCCGCAATTTTCACATCTGCTGATTATTTGTTGACATTCTGTATTAATTTGAAATTTCAATGTAAAAAACTATTTGCAACAAATAATAATGGTAAAACGACGTAATATAAAAACTGATTGTTTGTGTGCAATAAAATCCATGTTTAATTTAATTTTGTTTGTTAAATTTTTATTTCCACAAAAATTTAAAAAAAAAATCACAAAATGTAAAAAAAAGAAATATATTTGAAACCGGTTGAACGGTTGAAACTAGTTCGAAAGAGGACGATAAGAATTGCCGCAAGTAAACTTTCTTAATCTAAATCAAGAGTTTTTTGCATGTTGACAAAAAAGAAGATATAAATGCGTATGTGAACGCGCTATAAGCATGGTACATACATGTATGTTCAATACGTGTTTAGAATAGGTAGACCGGCATTTTATATTTATTGAAACCAAACAGAATAATTTTACTCATTGTCTTTGATTTAGAGCGGAAGAGTTCAAACTCAAGTCTTTAATTCGATTTCACCATGTTGCAATCATTCTACGAGATGCCTTTCCATTTGCTTGTCCCCCCAAACATTAAATTGAGAATTCAAATACCAAAACCTTCACCATTTTTCATTTTTAGTTGGATACTTGTGTCCTATTTTCTGGTGACTGGAGGTGAGTACAAACCAAAGCTATTAACCAGAGAGATAATACCATAATTTGCATATTTCAGGAATTATATATGATGTTATTGTGGAACCACCTAGCGTTGGTGCAACAGTGGATGAAAATGGACATTCTCGACCCGTAGCATTTATGCCTTATCGCGTCAATGGCCAATATATAATGGAAGGTCTTGCTAGTAGTTTTCTTTTCACAATCGGCGGCATTGGCTTTATAATTATGGATCTGAGCTCAAATACCCTTGGAAAAACAAAGTTAAATCGGATGTTGTTGTCTTCAATGGGATTCATATTTATTCTGGTTTCTTTCTTTACAACTTGGCTATTTATGCGTATGAAACTTCCAAGTTATTTGCAACCATAAAATATAATGTAGCAGACACATTTATTTCATTTCATTTTTTTCAGTATTTTTAAAATCAAAAATATTAAAGTATATTTACCAAGTATTGTATTTATATAGATAAATGACTCGAATTCCGATTAAATTAAAATATAGTGCGCACACATTGCCCAATTAAATGTTTGTGTTTTAAAATCATTCATTATTCGTATGTGCCGGATTCTTAAATATAGTCTCTTCGAAGCTAGAATTCCTTAAAAACTGAAAACACATATTTTCACTCAATTCAAAAGGAGAAAACCAATTTTTATCTTAAGTACGTATTCTAGTCGATTTCATTATTTTTCCTTTCGTAATTTGGGCAACAAAAAATTTACACAAGTAAAACGTAAACGTCTCCTACAAGACCTGCCTTTTTTCGTCCAGGATTTTATTGAAAAATATGGAAAAACAAGCACAATACCAAAATACTAACGTTATGCTAAAATATTTAGTTGCAACTATTGATATACGTCTCTACTCTTTATTTATTGGCACCCTTCTCTACGGACGTTACATTTACAGAAACTTTATCGTTTCCTGTTGTCGCAATTTTTTGTGGAGGGGCGGGTGGTATAAATCCTAAACGTGCACTTGATATCATAGTCCCAGGCTTCACAGGATTAAATGACATCAGGGTTCCAAAAAGAACGTGTTGTATTATAGGAAATTTTGACAATATCTGCAAAAAGTATCGTTAGTTCTCTTTTTTTTGTAGAAGAATAAATTTAACAATCTGAATTTGTATAGGTACATCATTTTGTAAAGTGTAATCTGTTTTATCACGAGATAATTAACATATGGACCTATAAAACCTGCTTGGTTTCATTTTGCCGATATACACTTACAATGATGTTTGGTATCTATACTTACTTCTTTTTGATACATTTTAACAAGTCCCGAGTTTATTTTTGCCCATGAAGGTACTGCCGAAATGCTCCATAACTGATATGAATGTTCAGCAAAATGACCCTTTTTCACCTGCATCTCATTATAGTTTGTCTTTAATTTTCAAAAATCTATACCAAAATAGGTCTTACCTGCCTAATGAAGTCAATACATGCAATAAACATATAATCATCTTTCATTGTATTTATAACTTCATCGTCCAAAAATTTTTCAGGAGGTATAGGGCTTTGGACTGAAAAACCATTAGATGTCACCATTAAAGCTTAACCAAAACAATTTTCATTGTCTTACAAGCAAGTTGGGCACTGCCCCAAATGAACGGCACAAATTGATAATCATCTAACGACCATACACCCTGACTACCAGCAGGCTCCATTCTGTAGGTTTTTTGTAGGCGCCTTACGAATATCAAGTAGGTGTTGAACAGACGTAGAGCACATGCAACATTGTCCTTTTCCTCTAGAATGCCGCCTTTGAACAACGAGCACATAAAGAAAATAAACGACAGTTCATGCCCTGTGCCGTAGTCAATACGGACTGAATTTCCAAACGATTCCGAAAGGTAAAATCCCAACTCAGTGACAAGGGCGCATTTATCGCTCGGAACACAATTTTGTAATATTAGAAATATATCCTACAAAGGAATTTACAAAACTCTGGATGAAAGCATACGTGAAATCCGATGCTTACGTGATTCATTCTGCGGGACCATGTGCGGAAAGCTTTGTTTCCAAAACGCTGCGGCTGGTCAGTGGGTGGAATCTCATCGACCATACTATTTAATTTTACAAATATATCCAATAGTTTTTCCATTTGTGGCGAAACGTACAAATCATCTGAAATTTTCTTCCCCTGAATGGCCGTGCTAATTCCATTGATGAATCCTATCAAATCATAGTACGCTTCAGAACGTAGCCATTTTTGCAGATCTGCCTCAGACTTGACAAGTTTTACCGGTTGTGCGGCCGCAGATAATTCCACTTCAGGAAAAATAAACATACATAAATGGGTTATTGATTGAATGGGACTCACTGGACTGTCTTACATGGTATATTCTTCGGATCCTGTACCACCATATCCATTATGCATTCGTTATTGGTTACTACGAAATCGGTATTTAGATATTAACAAACTGATCTAATACTAATGCAATCTATAAAGTCTCTTCCCAAATATCTGGATATTCATTCTTATTATTGTTGGTTGGCTGTCTTCTTCTTCTTCCGACATATGTCAATTCCACCATAATTGGGATCAAGGTATATTTAATAAGGTAGCCGCATCGGGCCAGCTGTTGGACAAATAAATGTCAAAAATGTTGTTGTAATGTTGAACCAAAAAATTAAAAAACAAAATTATAAATGAAAATCTCCGAATTTCTAATAGCTTTTTTGGCAATACTTTTATTAACATTTTCTACAAGAATTTGTGTAAAAAAATCTTGTCAATCTGTTTGTTTTGGCAAAATATTTTTGACATATCAAAATACAACAACCGATGTTTGTTGTAGAAATTCGCCGATGCGGCTACCTTGTATATCTACCTTGCTACCTATTCATTGTGCCATGGGTAGTCCATTTAGAGCAGCTGATGTCTTGATTAACTATCAAAGTGGTCAATTTTACTTGAATTCGATGTGCAATGCTGCCAACTTTTTGAAATATTATAAGGAATAATCAGGTGATGTATCAAAATAAAAACATTTTTTTTGTCTCGATTATCTGTCAAAATTTTCCTTATAATATTTCAAAAAGTTGGAAGCATTGCACATCGAATTCAAGTAAAATTGACCACTTTGACAGTTAATCCAGACATCAGCTACTCTAAATGGACTACCTATTCATTGTGCCATGCCTTGGGGTGTAATTAAAAGTGACATGAGACACAAAGTTTATGCTGCCACTTTCTGGGGAATTTTGTAGATTATATCACGGGTAAATGTGTGGGAATTTTGATTTGAATTTTTAAATTTTGTATTTTATAAATTAAATTTTTTTTCATATTGTGGCTTGTTATGCCAAAGTCATATACAAAATGTGTGACTGTGTATGTAATGTTTTGAAAAATACAGAAAAAATATATTCTGAAATCCATTTATTTAAATATGAATTTTACAACATTGGTAAGAAGAAATGTATGACTTGTGAATGAATCTGTATGTAAATCAAATTCGCAACTCGATTTTGAAAAGTAATCCTGCCATTCCATTCATTTTTCGCGTTTTTAGTAAAGTTTTAAAATTATGTCAAATGCATTTGTTTTTATTTATTCTGGCATTATAGCCCAAAAGGTAGAGACATGGTGCATTAAAAAGTTGATATATCTGTCAAAATTTTCCTTATAATATTTCACATGAGTTCAGAACCATGAGTCCAGAACCTAAAAGATTCTACAATTTTTACAAGCTTTGCAACTTTTTACTCGAAAAACGTTCATTAACCCACAAAACTGGTAAAACATTGAACCAAATTTAAGAGCACGCAAAACAAAATGGCATTCTCTTTGTAAACTTTTTACTCGACAAATTTGTCCGAGTAAAAATGGTAAACAGGAATGCCAATTTCTGATTGGCTGTTATGTTGATTTTGAAGTATTGCCATCTAATTTTGGCATATTTACTAGATTTATACGGCGTTTACATTAGAACTTTTTACCGGGTTAACCTACTTTATGAGGATTTATTTGACATATATGCAAAGGAATTGGCAATTGAAACCCACTGGGTTAACGAAATCCGGTTAAATGTAAACGTACTATTACGTTCCCGAACTTTTCAAATTGTTTTATACTCTGAGAGTGATTTTGAAATGTCTCCCTTTTACTAGATTTACTATATAAAAAAGTACTGGAACAGACCAATGGTTGGCAACATTGCAAATCAAATTCAAGTAGAAATTACCCACTTTGACTACCTATTTATTGTGTGATGGGTATAACAATATAAGGTAACAGCAAATGTCGTTGTACAATAAACGCATGGCACAATAAATTTTAAGGTAGTCCATTTAGCACAGCTGATTAACTGTCAAAGTACGTAATTCCTACTTGAATTCGATGTGCAATGTCAGGCATAAGTCAGAAATATTTGTCAATTATATTTATGTTTATGTCAGCTATATTTATGCATACTGATATTATGTAGTTTATCAAAAAATTATGGCAAAACCAAGATTTACTTACGAATATTTTCTATAGCCATTCTGTAACTTATATATGCGTTATCGGTAAAATTAAATAAAAAACATATGTATTTCTCATGTAATATTTAGAATTTATGTCAACTACTTCATATCTGTCGTTAGGACTTAACGAATACTTTATTATGATCGGTAACTTACCAAACAGTTTCGTTAATTAACGAAACTATAAGCTTATGAAAAACATCGTCGAAAATCATCGGTAATACTGTCTTCGTCTTCGATTTGCCTATTGGTATCAAGCTGAATTATAAATTTAAATATAAATTTATTTATATAGTTACAGAAGTAGCAATAATAACAATATTATCTTAAAAGTAATATGCGTATATATTATGGGAAAAATCCGTTCGGTGTAAGAACAAGGCTAGAGTTTCCGCTTTTTAGAAGTCCTCGAAGAAGCGCCAAATCATCTGGAGAAAGAGCCCACCCACTTAATTGTCCAACTGACTGTAGTTCGGGGCATTCATTCATTAAAACCTAAAGTAAGTAAAGGTATACAATTATTAAAAAAATCGAATAACATAGTTATTTCGAGCCATTGTGTTAGTTATTTAATAATAATTAAACTTTAAACTCCTGAAACATTGATACCTAAACATGAGTTGTTTGAAAATACTAATATATATATATATATATATATATATATTGGCGATACTTCTTATTGTTATTGTGAATATTTTTAATAGACTTGTTTTTTTATACACAACGGTCGAATTTTGTTTGAGCCCATATTATGTTTTTGAGATTTTGCTATGAAAACACCAAAGTATAATAATAGAAGGTAACAGCAAGTGTTGTTGTACAACAAATGATACAACAACCATATGGAAATTTGTTGTTGTAAGTTATACTAGTGTCAACGTGATTTGATAGAAAAATGTATACAAACAAGCAAATTATCAACAAATTATGTTTATTTTGAAAATGTAATATTTTCGAATCCTTAAAATAAAATTGAAAACATGAATGAAAACCTATCAAATGTATATTTCTATCGCTATCGCTTGCACATCTTTCCTATAACTGAGCCATTGCCACATATATGTGTAACACATATGAAAATGCTGTGAATGGCGAGTTATTCATTGAAGAAATATTTGCTTCCTCAAACTTTCCCAGCAGGCAGATTGAGTAAATTGAATACGGGAGGACATTTAATAAAGAACAATTTCGAATTGTATGCGTTCCCAATTTTCCTGTTAGTTGGTTTTTAAAAACATAATGTGTAATATTCATATTAACACTAGTATTACGTTGGAATCTGCTGGGTTTTGCTGTTACCTTTTATAATTGTACCATGTGAAAGCACCAAGGTATATTAAGAAGGTAGCCGTATCAAAGCAGGTAATAGTAACATTAAATGTCACAACATTTTTTTTGTTTTTAAATTTGCCGTAAAAATAAATATAATTTCAAATAGAAATTGGAAACATTTAGAAATAAAGAACAAACAACTAAGAACAAGAAACGAATTGAAAGGAGACATTGGGATTTCTAAAAGAAGAGAATTTGGTGGTAAAGAAGACTACGGATGGAAACATGACTGATAAGCTGCCTATAAAAGCACCAACTTTTATAAAATGATCTGTTTTACTTTGAAAAGAAGACTCTTTTGGATATTTGGAAAATTAAATATGATATTTAAGTCGATAAACAGATCTTTTGATTTTATAAAAGCATTTTCCGGTTTCTATAAAATGTCCCATTAGAAATTTATTAAAATTTCTATTGGCCTAAGAAGAAATTTTGGTCTCTATAGCTCTTTTATCTTCTGAAAAAATACCATTTGTTATTATGTATGTAATGTAGGTCTTATATATGGTATGTTCCCGTACTGCAAGAATCTACGAGCTTTTACTATTTTTTTCGATATCATAAAGGAAAAAAAGTGTTATCGTAGTAAAAATAGTAGGGGAGAGGGGGACGCCTTTGAACACTTTTTTCTTTGAAGCCTTATAAAATTTTTTATTATATAATTTTTGGTATCTTTTAAGTTTTAATTAATAGGTACATATGTAACCTTTAAAATGAATATACATCTATATATATATATATATATATATATAAATGGAGCCAAAAAAATGTATACTAAAGCATCAATTGAGAACGGCTGGACCGATTTGACTCAAAATTGTTTTCAGTTGTCGGTAATTACAGTGGGAAGGTTTTTATGAAAGAAAATTTTGAGAAAAATCCGCGAAATTCTTGCAAAAATTATTTTAAAGAAACGGCTGGACCGATTTGACTTAAAGTTTCTGTTAGTAGTCTGTAATTGAGAGGAAAATGTTTTAATAAAAGAAAATTTTAAGAAAAATCCGCGAAAATGTTGCAAAAAATAAAATATTATGAAGCATATTTGCATTTCCACGAATTTAGTATCGAGCTATTATGATTGCCCCACGTCGTAGTTGTTATTTTGATAAATTTTGGGCAAAAATTGATAGCGTATCAATCCTTTAAGACTTCATTTGTCAATTATTGAAAATTTTGATTTTTTTTTTCAATTTGATTGACATTGTATTGAAAAATTTTTTTTTGTGAAAATTCAAAAATTAATTGAGAATATATCATTGAATGGACACGCGATCATTGTATGTACACGTTGTCCATAGAATGCACGTACATTTTGGGACAAATGCAGGGATGAAAATCAGAAGATATTCGCAATAGTTTTGATTCTAAGATCCATTCTCTAGATCATTTTCTTAAAATAAGAATAGAAATAGTTCCGTAAGGACACGTTGTTCTTTAAAGTATTTAAAATGTGTTACGTGACCCTTTTACGCCGCTGGGAGATGTTCAGGTAACTCCAACCAGCTCCGCCGCCTCTCATAAGGGGGGGTCCCATCCCGCATTCCCAGCACAGGAACGTACACAGTAACCTAGATGATAGGTTTACATCTACAAAAATACTAAATTTAAAACTTTCCAACTCCATCAAATCCAAACCCGTATGACCTATTTAGCCGCCCTCCCTACCTTGGTCAAACCTTTCCATCATTATCATTTTGACCCCTAATCCCGCTCCATAACATACCACTTACCTCACCTTTAAGTCCCTCCTTCCTTCTTCAATCAAAAGTCCATTATGTTCTCTTAATACTATTTCACATGTCTTTTATTACAAACAAAACTAAACCTAATCATATCTCCGCTATTTTTGTATATCCTATGTTTTCTATTTAATACTTTCCAGTTAAAAGTGATAATTTATTCATGTATGGAATTACTGTATAACAATTTCTGATTACTACGAGTAAATTAATTCTATTTATTTTTCTTATATTTATAGGTATTCCGAAGGATAAATCGAAAGGTCTGTTGACCCAAAACAAAATTCAAAATTGAAGTCAAATTTTATGGTCTTTAGAACCCACTAAAGAGTTTTAGCGCACGCCCAATTCACTGGACTACTGCGGGTAAAGCCAATTCCTAATCGTTCCTAATAGAGCTCTATTTGTAACTTTTAGGTGCTATGTATATAACCCAACTGTGGTTTCTAACAGTAATAAAAATTAACTCCAATATTATTATAAATAAATATCATTAAAAAAATAAACTAATTAAGATACAAATAAATATTCACTTAAAACCAACCTAGATACAAAATAAAACTAGTCACAAAAATATGTCATACAACAATGATGAACTATAAATTAAAAAAAATAATAAATAAATATAAAAATTAAGTCGTTAAAATTGGGTTTTACTGTCGTTTGAATTTAAATACTGGTATGCTTTTTGGTGGTGTGATCGAAATTCGTGGACGTTAGCTTCTGTTGTTACCGCTAACTTATACCATTTTTTCAGAGGTTTTGCTTTCATTACTTTATATATCAAACACACACCAATATTCAGTATTATTAAGTCCACGTAAAAGTTAATATGGTGCTGAGCACCGTGGTATAATAGAGTGAGTCTCCAGTTTTTCTGGGAGCAAAGGTCCTTAGTTACCGGGTAGTAATAATATAGCGGTACAATATATTTGGTTGGATCCTACCTCTTTTCGTAGTGTCACCGTTACAAATGCCGGCCTTTACTTATAACTCGGACTGTCCTTTTTATATGGTTAGTCCCTGCTTAATGTCCGACATTTGAAAATTTTAAATAAATCCGACATTTTCTGATTTTGTGAACATGCCATCTACCTTACTTGCTTCCACTTACAAGACGTGTTTTATTCATGAATGAATTAGGTTCCACTACTAAAAAAGTGGTTGGCAACGCGGTTCGCCATTTGCTTCACATCAACAAAGTTTCCTAGAGCTAATAGCACATTTTTTTTGTAATTTTATATAAAACATTTTATTAATCTATTTTTCTTTTCAGGAAAAAACATTGGATTATTCTCGGCCATAAGGTATAACGTCATCCGTGGACAAGTTGGCTGACTTTTTGTTATTACTTGGCCGAGAAAAACAAATGTATTTTTCCTGGGCTGTGATCATGGAGTAATTGGGTTCGGGGACAGTCGCGTCAAAACCCGGACGCACAGGAGGCTGCCCTGCCTTTATGGATGAATCCCAATAAAGGGTCATCCCAACGAAAAAGAGCACACACCAAATATTGTGCTAAATTACTAACACCACCCTGGCAAATATATACTAACCCCTTAGAACAAACATAATGGACACGGCAGGCCAAAAAAGGCATTACAGTGGCTTGTCATCCCGGGAGTGTCCATTGTAGCTACCTCCAGCTCCCCCAACTCTACCGCATAATGGGAGCTGGTGGAAACTCGTGGTTAGTGGCTACCTCGTAGGCGAAAAAAGCCACTTCCTAAGGCCCCTCCACGCAAAATTTTTTTTGCTTTCGACAAAAGACTGCGTTTAAGCAACCCCGCAACAAATGTTGCTATGGCACGGGAAATATCAAATCGGTGGTACCATTATATGGTGGTTATACGCCTAATCGTTGGCCAATGCCTTTGAACTTATAAACACAACACCTCTCATATATCCGATACCACAAATGTGTATCACAGAAAACTAATATACGATGCAATTTTCTGTGCAAAATTCATTAAGTTGATATAAAAAAGTGATGTTACCTATTCGTATTGAACTGTGACTATAAAATTGCAAATACCTTAATATATCAACTAAACTAAAACATAAAACTAACTTTTCATATTTTCTAATATGTAGATTCCTTAAATCGGTCGGGACATTTATATGGGAACAATGTTACAACACTATGTGATAGTAGGTTGCCCATGCTCTTAAAAAATAATGTACAGACACTCAGGTTGAAAAAAGGGGGTAAAAACTTCAAATATGTATGGCGCCTTTTTAATACGTTAGGCCAACTCTATGATTGGGTACCGTTATATGGGAGCTACCTCAAAGAGTGGATCAATATAGATACTTTCAGTACGATTCATTCTACCAAATAAAACAACCAAAATTATATGAGGGATATTTAAAGGCTTGGGCGAATAAAAAATTTCAGTCAAATACCGAATATTAAGGGATACC